ATGTGTGAAAACCAGCTGCTCTTCTTGGCCCAGCTTTGTGATTCTCCCTCTCTTCCTCCCTCTGCCTTCCCTGTATCTTTCCTCTATTGCAGGAGCGTCTGTTTTCAGAGGTGCCTCTCCCCTCCCTAGCCCAACGTGGGTGGGACACGTGGGTAAGAAACATACCAAAAAAAAAAAGAAAGAAAGCTAGGGAAACGGAAGAAAAGTAAAGTTATCAAGATACTTGGGCTCTGTTCAGATATCAGATATCTTCAGTTTCATTCCCACTTCTCTGAGAAGTATACAAGCCAGCTGAGAGAGGCTTGGATACAGGGGTTTACTTCTGTGGCCCAAGGGTTCCAGCGGCTGAGGGTTGGGGTCCTCAGTTTTCCTCTGGGCATCAATGTAGCCCTCACTTCCTCAGAACTTTCAGGGAAGGATCCCAGAAGAAGGAATCTTCCATGGCCAAGAGGGTATCTTTTATCAAAGAGGAATAGGGTCCTTCTATAAATGCTGTTAGGGACCCAAGTCATACATGTAGGCCTTTCAGATTTTAGTTCACCTTCAGTTCATTAAAAGTAACTAATGAAGGATTAAAAACATATCCTCAAAAAGGATTCAACCCCAAGAAGGAATTACTGACAATACTTTTGCCTAATTCTGCCCTGCAAAGCAAGCCCCTCTTAAAACCTCTTGTCTGGGCTTTGAGTATTATGCTCCCTGAGGATTGAGGGTGAACACATGCAGTGCTATTTTTAAACTGCTCAAATGTATTCGGAATTTATTCCTCCAAGGCACCTATCTAGGCAGTTCAACATTGTGAACTCCCCTCACTGGTGGTTCAAGACCATGTGAAGATCATGGCACTGCCCTTGACCTTCTGTCGTCTCCTGCTTGGTTCTGCAGTCTGCCCCATTTCCAAGGAAATCATAAGCACCTGTTGAGGGGTTACCTTCCAAAAGGTACAATTTGAAATCTACACTAAAAAGACAACTTTATATTTAATGCTTCACTTAATGAGACATTCTTTTTTTTTAATAAGTATATTTTTCTATTGATCGTCTCAGAACACTAATCTTATTTTCACTCTTTTAACATATTTCTTTAAATATTTATATTGCAGCTTACTACAAAAGATTTTTCATAAAATTACTTTTATCATCCCATCATGTGCACATCCTTGGGTTAAGCATAGTTTATTCTTTAGTACCGAAACACACTCTTTTACCTAGCACTAACAAGTCTGTTTGGCTATATACCTGTTGCGCTTGTAGTAGTAAGAAATAGACTTGAGGTCCCAGGAGATTGTGTGTGATTTAGCTGTCAGATACAACAAAAGCTATGACTATAAATGTCATGTAGCTTCCTAACCAAGTGTAGGATACATTCACAAATAATGGAATCAGATCCTTTGATGCTGGACCCCAGAGGGAAAAAAATGTAGCTAAATGTTGATTTACTTATAACTAGACATCTATGTGAGAAAATATAATATATGTATACATAGATATATAATATGCAGAAGTCACTTTTATTTATCAGTCCTTATTCTGCTTAGGAAACCACAGTTTAACTGTCTGTGGCAGTTGGTTTAGGGCCAGGATAGACTGATCTCCCAGCTCCCCCTATAATGACACACTTACTCCCATACGTACAACTTCTTGGCTTCATTTCCAGGAAGCTATTTAAATATGTTCAGTGTACTTTGTCTTAATGCTGCTTCTGTGAACAGTGATCTCTTTCTTTTTTTATTCTTATATCTTCATTAGTTCACCATAAATCTGTCCAGTTGGGGCCTCAGGACCATGGCAAGATAGTCTAGACAAAATTTCATGACTAAAGTATTTTACAGAAATACATTTTTTAAAAAGAGGGAACATGTTTTATATATCACATGGTTTACACACTTTGAGTTGTAGCTAAATACTTTTTTCATAAGAAATTCATATTTTTAAATTCCTTACCTTACTAAAATGAATAGTACCATACTTAGCTTTTAGAGGGACGACCTGATTTGCTTTTTCCCTATTCAAACTATTTTTCTACTTTACTAATCTTGAAACTATCAGAAAAACAAACAAAAAAAGAGCTTTATATCCATGATTTAGTACTTTGAAGGGCATGGGTTAGCTTACATAATAGTAGAGAATGTGCCAAATTTTCTCTTCAAGTGCCACCTTTTTAACCAGTTTATAATTAAGATTGTATCATCTGAACTGATTACTCTGAATTTTGATTTAAGATATATAGGGGCCCAAGAAGTTGAATTACAGCACATACCAGTCATTTCTCAATGAAATACAATACCAGAGTATGTTACGAATTGAATTGATATTTTTATGGTAGATGTGTTGCTAGAAAAAAAAGCATCAAAGTCAAATGCAATTAAATACACATATTAAAACAGCACTTACCTAAGGTTGTTGGGCTGGAATTGAGCCTTGGATCATTTACTAGGCAATGCAGTGTGGTCTGCCTTTGGACGGAGCACTTCATCTACCTGTGCCTCCTTTTCTTCACTCGTGAAACACAGGGCTGGAAGTAGATGATGACCAAGATCCCTTCCTGTTCCCAGATGCCTCAGTCCAGTGCCCCAACCCCTCTACTGGTCCTGCCAACATGTTGGTGCTATAAGCTGCTCCAGATATAAAGTTGATTTGTCTATAATGTATGCTCATTTAATAGCTTATGACAGGCCTTGGTGTTGCATAGTGCTTTTTCCTAGTTTTATGGACTTGGTTACTGTAATACAATGTCTTGTTTTTTAGCCATGTAACTATAAATACATATTCTCCTAATGTTTCGGTAAATTTGAATTTGATATATCACTGATGAGATTTTACTTTATAACATTCTTTAGCTACTCAGCTGTCCAGCATCCTATTAATCTCAACACTGTGATCGTTGTTTGGAAATCTGTCTATGGAAAGAAAAAAGGCATTTCCTGCACAGCTAGCATGTTCACAGATTTGGAAGTTTTATTAAAAGCACTGTTGCTTTCTTTACTGGGTCAGTGCCTCATTGTATTGTACTACTCCTGTTTTGCTCAATAAATTAATAAAAGTCCATTTCTCTTCCCCTCTTCATTCATTCAGTTAATATGTTCTTAGCACCTTCTTGGAGAGATGCGCTGAGGGTCAAGCCCTGATGTGACTCAGTGAGAAGCTTACAGGCTGGAGCCAGTAGGGTGGGGATTAGATATGTAAGTGACTCATTGTAGGCCCCCATAAGAAGGAGAATCTTAACTCAGGTGGACACAGTGCTGTGAGAGCCAGCAGGAGGAGGGACTAGCTCCTCAGCAAAACAATCTAAGGAGCCTGCTGGGGAGATGATGTTGGAGCTGGGTCTTGATAGAGCAAGGAGACACATGCATTGGAATGAAGCCTTGGGAGAAGATGCCTGGAGGGAGGAGAAGTAGACTCCCAGCTGGTGTGCAGAAGGTCTCCCATGCGACTTGTCCATCCTGTAAGCAACACGAAGGCTATAGAAGTTGCCAAGAAGGAGTGACCTCATGATTCCCAAGGTGCAGAGAGCTGTTTCTCATCCTGAGACCCAGCTGTGACCATGGAAACCAGTAACAAATGGAAAGGTCATTAGGCTTGTGGTGACTCATACTCACCAAGTGTTTGCTGTAGGTGTCCTGCCTCCTTGGAACCCTGGTCTTTCCTTCAGGACTAGGGTTCCCACCCAGAAAAACGGAGAGCAGAAACAAAGGGTGGGGTGGGGCAGTCGACAAGTACCGGGTTATGAATTGGGTGAGCTTTAGAAATGGCCCTGCTTCTGAGAACTAGTATTCAAAAAGGGCAGAAACAGAAGGTAGGTGGAGTGGCAATTCATTAGAAATATATAGTAAAGGACTTTGGAGTACAGGGCTGACAAGTTCAAATACTTTGGTTATGAAAAATAGGTAACAACTGACAAGCACTTTGACCCGTTATAACCAAATTTTCAATGCTCTTGTGACCCTCAGTGGAGGACAACCGTGTTGGAAAGAGCAGATGGGATTGGGAAGGGGTAAGTTTTTTTAAATGGTGAAAGAGTAATGAGGTTGGAAACAGTATAATATGTAAGTAAATATGGCAGGTGAAATATATATTACATTAATGTTATAAACAAGAAACTCGAACTTGCAAGAATGCTGGGAGCTTAGTGTGTGGAGATGCATGTCACATGGCCTGTATCCAGGCCACTATCAGTTTTTCATTGGCAAGAGGATCATTTACACATAAATAATGGATATTCACTCTAAC